TCTGGTAGAATTCTTTGCTGAATTTGTTTGAACTCAGGCTTTATTTCGAGGGCAGGAGGTTGGGAGATTTTAAATTACAGTTTCTATTTCACCAGGTGTTATACATCTGTTTAAAATACTTATTTGGTCTTTCAGTTTTCCTACTTGGTGGAGACCAGGTTTTTAAAGTATATCCTTATGATTCTCTGATTTCTTCAGTGTCTGTTGTAACATCCCTTTATTTATTTAAAATTTCAAGCTTCTTTCTCTGTCTTTTGCTTAATTTCACTATGAGTTTGTCAATATTATTTTCTCAAAGAACTAATTCTTCATTCCATTGATTCTTTAGATTGTTTTTAATCTTTTCAAGTTCATTGATTTCAGCCACATGTTTGATTATTTCTTGCCACCTACTCTTTTTGGATGTTATTTTTGCTTTTTGTTATAGATCTTTCCGGTGTGCTGCTAAATTACTAACACGAGATCTCTCCAATTTTTTGATGTAGCACTTAGTGTTATGAGCTTGCCTCTTAGAACTGCCTTCACTATGTCCCGTTGGTTTTGGTATGTCATGTGTTCATTTTCATTCAGTTCCAGTATGGTTTTAATTTCTTTCTTTATCTCTGTTTTGACTCATTTTTCATTCAGTAGAGAGTTGTTCATTTTCCATGAATTTCTGTACTTTCTGTTGTTGTTTCTGCTATCTGGTTTGATTCTCTCTTCCATTTCTTGTATTAATTTGGTGGAGCTTGACTTTGTAGTAGTTTTTCAAAATCCTAACATTTAATTTTTATAATTTCCTCAGTTACACTTGACTTTCTTTATTGCTTCTCTTTCTATTTTCATGTCTTAAACAGTTTTATTTGCTCTTTTCAAACTATTTTTTTCTTTTTTTAAAGGGATTTATTTATTTCCTCCAATTTTTTGTTTGTGTTTTCCTGAATTTTTTAAAGGGATTTTTTTTAATTCTCTCTTTACATACCTCTATCATCTTTGTACAGTTGATGGAAGTTTTTTTGTTTGTTTGATTTTTTTGTTGTACTTCAGCTTTATTAGAATATTCAGTGCCTGCTATGGTAGGATAGCTGGCCTCTATTGGACCCATATTGCCCTGATTCTAGTCTTATACTTGCATCCATTCATCTGAATTTGGGATGATAATAGGTCTAGTTGCTGATTCTGGGTTTGTCTTTGTTGAGTGGGCAATTTTTAACCCTTGTTTTCTTCTTCTTCTTCTCCTTCTCCTTCTCCTTCTCCTTCTCCTTCTCTTTCTCCTTCCCCTTCCCCTTCCCCTTCCCCTTCTTCCCCTTCCCCTTC